GATACTCCTGCTTATCACTATCCTCAAGCCTTAATGAGCGATGCACAGTTCTAAGCAGAAGACAAGAAGCAAACTGCACCCTGGAAAATGACTGGCCTTAATAACACCCAGGAAATAAATAGAAAAGAACAGTCAACAACAGCCCTGAATAGGGAGATCTTAAAATTTCATTTGGAAAAAAGAACTATTAAAAAAATACTCCCTATCCAATAACTAGGGAGACGAGAAACTATAATCTCTGCGGGGAAAAAGGCCATCAATTGCTTTTTTACCACTTTTATTTTAAATGCGAATGCCTTTGGCTATATATCAATGACCCTAACTTTTTCACTGGTATAGTTTCCTCAGATCCGACATCTTTTTGGTTCTATAAATTAGCCTTCCTGCAGAATGAACCAAGTTTTCTGGAAAATTAATTTTAAACTCTGACCACAGTTCTCTAAGGAGAATGTCTCAAAGTAGCTCACAGACTCAGTAACAGACTGCCATGGAAAAGGCTTGTGTTTAAAATTAGGAACAAGAAAGCAAACAACACCTCACATGATACTTCCAGATACCTCAGATCACATGAGGCATAAACATTTAAATCACTCTTGACATCTAGCCAGCTGACCATACAAACACACCTCAACTGGCAGTCAGCAGGAATTCACAGACAAACCTCTTTTGCATGGAAATCAATTATTAACAAACTTCACTTAGGTGTCTTTCTAGAAAACTTTAGCTAAGTACCTAACAAACTGTTTGCAAAAGATATCAGAACATTGATATAGTAAATGCATTGAGTCAGCTCTAAAAGGTTAAGAGTTCAGTGAATCCACTGCTGATCTTATAAAGACAGGTTATCAGCTCCCAAAATTGATAAGACATGAGATAGTACATAGTGATTACTGATGGACTATATGAGAAAATGAAGGAGGAAGATCAGGCACAAAATAAATTATGTGTGAATTAGAGGACAGGAGTGTTGAATATTCAATCAGTTGTAAGAGAAGAGCAAAAAATATTATGATTTGTGTAAACATGCAGATATCCAGAAGCACTTGTACCGAATATATAGAGCTCTATTTTTAATAGGTAGTCTCAGTAGAGCAGAGGTATTAAGTAGGTTATTGAGATTCTTAAAGGAGATTTTCCTGTATGAGTATACTGTTCTGGCTAAACAGGAAGTTTTGGGTTTGGGTTTTTGGGTTTCTTTTTTATGCCTTAAGTAGCTCCTTTTTCCCAAAAAACTCTTGAGAGAGGAACTCCAGGACAATCACCTTACATTTTAATGAGCATTACATCTTTGATATTAGGCCTTCAGGCAGGACTCTGGAAGTAAGGTTTTGACTTATACCTCATGTTTTTTCTTCTTCAGTACCACAATTACATGAATAACCTTTGATGCTTTCTCATTTAAAGCTCAAGGAGAACTGAGGAATTGCAGTGCAGTATTTTGCGGTCAGTTACTACCCACATTGGTTTGGTCCCTGGGTCTTGCTTCCTTGGTACATGCAGACACAATCTCTGGGAATAGTAGCTCCTGCTACTAAGGCACCATATGATGGTGCACACACCATCTTAGAACACAGTCTAATCCAAATGGACCAGTGCTTTTCCCCACATTCCTTATGTGAGCTCCTTTGTTAAGGTAGGTCAACCTCAAAATTAACTACTTCTTCCTCAGGTTGATTTTCTCATACTTTAGCAAGAACAAGACTCCACTAAGTGTTCAATAAGAAGTCACAGGGCAAGCTGGGGGAGCACTAATGATTGACTTAGCCATCTCACCAAACCAGTTAAGGGGCTCTCCAAGTCCCAGATCTGCTGCCACCACAACTACAGCCAAACATTGCAGCTCACCTGTTTTCAGATTTGATATTCCTAAAATCAGTATATTCAGTAGTACCTGGGGAACAGAACACAGTCACCCTTCTATAAGAAACTCCCCATATTTGCAAACTACTGCTCTACTTCCTCTGCCGTTACTTGGGTAAGCACAGGTTGCAACTGCCAGCGGGGTCATTAAAACAAAAATAATTTGAAGGAAGTTGCCCTGGGTCTTGTGACCACCACTGATCAAAAACATTTACGAAGTGATCATTATGTTGGCAACATTCCTTTAAACAGCATTCCTTCTTTCTTTATTCCTTAAGATCAGATGCCCAACCTGCCAGGTACACAGTAAGACCAAACTTATTAACTCTACTTAAGAGCTTTAACTTTGGAACAGACCAAGAGTGAATGCGTAGAACACGAGACCACATTTGCCACAAGATAAAAGGCATATCTGAAAACTGAACACATCTGAGGAATTAAGGGTATAGATGCCAGCCTGCTAAATCAGGAAAATCAACTGTATCCCTCTCTTATAGGGGCTTCAAACCTACCTTACGGCTGTAGAGGCCTGTATACTGCAGTCTCGCACCCCCCTCTCAACATCCTCTTGTATTTGGGAGCATTTCAGTGAGCTCTGTTTTTCTCCTCTCTCCCGAACACGTGTGATAAAACAGCACTTATAATGCCTCCCTAAATGAGTCTCCTAAACCCTTCTACCATCCTCATCACCATCACACTCATTCCTAAAAAGCTTATCTTAATGTGTCACATACGCAAGAAGGGTGAAGAAAAGGTCACGAAAAGTTAACTACAATCAAGATGAGAACTTTTCATACAGAACCAGCAAGTGGCCAACAGTCACTGCTTCCTCTCCTTTATTTGCTCAATCTTCACTGCCCATGTCATGTCTAACTAACTTAAGCTCTTAGCGCAGCTGATTTTAAGACAACAGATGTTTCCATACATCAAAAAACAATGGTATTTTACATTGGGAAGTTACAGCAAATCACTCCCTAAGGGCACCTACTTTTTCAAACAGCTATTTTTGGGGGGTAGTCTGTATATGTTCAGATGCATTCAATCCTCATTTTCTCTCAAGCTCATGGTGGGACAGCAGGAAACTTCAAGTTTTAAACCACAGACACTGACTAGAATGGGAAGAGATGCAAGTTCTGTAGCATTCAAAGAAGATTCATTGTAATGGCAAGGAAGTCTGTGTTTTAAAGCTTTCGCTGATGAGCATGCGCTCAGGCAGGCAGTGTTTACCAGAAATCTCTTAGGAAACCTAAATGTAGGTCAGCCTTGGTTTCTAAAAGCATCTTCAGAGATCATACATACTTGCAGTAAATCCAGGAGTAGTAACTCTACACTTCTATAATCAGTATCCCTTCATCCCTATTGCTTTTAAATCTTCTTTGAATCCTTCATCACTAGAGTTCAACTGCAGCTCAGCAGCTATAAAACGCTATCACCTTGTCATCAAGTAGCTTGCACTGGAATAAGCACCAAAGCTTACTACTAAGCCCCAGCACTAGAGTGGGAAGATGGAATGAAAGATTGCTTCTAACCACCACAGGCAGAATGCACAGAACTTCTGTGCGCACTTCAACTCCAGCCTGCCAGAACAGCCTTCTGCAGTTCTATCTCCACTTCTACATCCTCCCAGTTCAGCTGTCTGCTGAGGATAGTGAGTTTGCTCATGGTGGTCCCAAGGTACAGCATCTTACAGAAGTTCCCATTTAGCATTTACACTTTCAGGTCAGAAGTTTGTAACAGTAAAAGCCAATAACAGAGCCCAAATTATTACATATAAACTGAAGAACATGCCACTGATCAACCTTTTCCCACTGTTTTCCCCACGTTCCTACTTTTCTTCCCCCTTTATCAACAAAGTTAACTGCATAAAAACATAGGGAATATGCCCACAGGACTGACTGCTGACATTAATGTCACCAAATACACTTAATATTATTGGAACCCTTAAGATTCACAATTTAGGAAGATGTTACTAAAATATTTCAAATTTATTTACAATTTTTCTTATCAATTCATACAAACAGCATGTAATGAACAGTACACAGTAACCACTACAGAAATATATGCCTACATATTCATGACAAGTTATTTCGTCTTAACAGGTGAAACCACAGGCTAGTAATACATATCCATTTTGCATGCTGCGCAATGAAACAGGCCTGTGATGTTTATAAACGCTCGTGGCTTCGCTGCTAGAACACGCACTTGCTGCTCTTCCCACATCTCGTTCCAACCCCCTTGACAGCAGGGTCGTACACAGTAAAAACTTGAGAGTCGAGGGTCTGCTTGTAATTAATGAGCTAAACAAGTGTTTACGCGAGCCTTATTCTCCCCGTACTCGCTGACAACGTAAGAAAACCCAACATTTGCAGTGCATTTGCCCCCGGCCCCCCGACCCGGCCCGGGCCCGCGTTTCTCGCCGTTGCGGCCGGGCCAGGACAGTCACGGAGAAGACGCTCCGTGCCCACTGGAGGCGCCCCGCGGTACGCGCCGCGGCGCTAGGGCGCCCTACGCGGGCTCGCTCAGCGAAGCACTCCGGGCAGCTGCGGCTACAGCCGGACGGGCAGAGCACCCCACGGCAGTGCCCGCCACGCTCTGCAGGCGCCCGGGCCTCCTGCTGCCTCCCCACCCACGGCGCGACAGCGGGCACGGCGGGTCCGACCCGGTTCAGCGGCGCCAGTTGCACCGCCGCCCCCCGGCTCTTACCCAGCACCACGGGCGGCCCCGCGGGCCGGCGGCGAGGCAGGCACCCACCGCCGGGGCAGAGCAGCAGCAGCAAGAGGAGGAGGAGGCTGAGGAATGGGTTCCCTCCTGAGCGCGGGAGAAGCCTGGCGCCAGCCGGCAGGACCATCACCCTAGCACATAACCCCGGGGCCGGGAGCCGCACACCGCACCCCGTCGCAGATGCCGGAGTACGGCCCCACCGCCCGGCCCGGACAGAAAACGGCCCGGTCCGGTCCGCCCCGCCGGCAGCCGGCCCCGCCCCGCAGGCGTCGCCAGCCGATTGCGGAGAATCCGAGCAGCTGAGGTCGGGCGGGGTACGGCGTGGGAGTGCCTGCTTCCCTCAGCAGCCCCGCGGAAACCTCTATAAAGGAGCTGGACCCCAACTTCTCCCAGCTTCTGGAATCTCCCTTCTGTCGCGGCCTCGGCGCAGGCCGTGAGGTAGAGCGGACAGGTACGGCACCCCGCAGGGCGGCCCGGGGCCTCTGGTCCCCGCTGGCGTTCAGGGAGAGAGGCAGCGTGCTACGGGGGGAGTGCGTTCACCCCGCATCCCTGCACCTACAGCTGTGGGGCCGTGATGACTTATCAAAATGAAGTAAGGAGCGTTTGCTGCAAAACTCATGCATCAAAATCTGTAGCACATAAGGGCCGTGGTCAGAATGGCTTAAGGAACAGCAGTGATACTTAGGAGAGCTGGGAAATAGGGTATTACGCAGGCAAGGGCATCTGATATAAAAGCTTATGGGCATAGCTGTACTTCAGCAATATCTGACTAATGTGACAGCTAATTGGTACAGAGTATCATTGAGGTCAGGAATTTGTCAATACCAAGAAAAAGTCATTAGGCCTTCATACATGTTACAGGAACAGGTAGACTTGTAATTACAATAATTTAAAACCAGAAGGGATATAAGCCTTCATACTGGCTACTAGGAGTTACGTGCTCAGTTGAAATACATGTTGTTTGAGGTGTGCCTGGTTCTGAAAGGGAGGAAGAATCAGACTCTAAACAGAGAAGAAAATGGTACTTGGGACAAGAGTCATCACATCCTATGATCAGTCATGATTGTGCTGATGGGCAAAGACAAGGTTTCCTTGGTTCACTCTTGCAGTGGACACAGACTGCGCTGGGTGTTACCAGTCCCTGCTATTTCTGATAGGGCTACTCTGCAACAAGGGCACAGCTTCTGGCATCTCCTATCTACTAATTTTCAGAAATATTCCTACTTTGAATGGTTAATACACTAGAATGAACATGATCACAAATGAAGGCATGGGAGACAAGTAGAAGACTACTCATTGACTTAGGAACTCCTACCAGCTACACACAGTGTAAGGTATAATGTGGAAGCTGTTCTTGCCTCACTGAATAGAGTATTCAACATTTGTAATTCCTAGAGAAGGACATGTCAAAAAGATCTGTGCATGAGGGCAGAATCTGGTAGAGCAGATACGCAACCTATTGACAGGAGTTCAGAAACATGATGGGAGTGGTTTGGCATTGATATGGAAGCAGACGGAGGACACATCTTCCTCCTGAAATACTAGATAGGAAGAAGATGCAACAAATTACACCAGGCAGCTAAGGCTACACCTAGACTTGCCTTTTTCAAGGCAGCTGCCACACCTTGTATACTTACAATTAGTGGAAAGGTGTTGACATCCACTAGACCCAAAGGCCTGCCCCAAAGACAGGTGCTTAGTCACCACACAAGTGTTGACTTGAAATGACTTCCTACTGAAACAAACTACAGGCTGTGCAAGTATGACTGAATAAAAGTGATTGCAGCATTGACCCTGGTGTAGTAATTAAGTATTACAAAATGCAGCAAAAGACCTTACGAAAGGGTAGAACTATATTTAAAGAAAACTAATTTCAGTCACAGTCATTCTCTTATACTCCTGGACTCAAAATCCTCAAAATCCATGTGTCCAAAGGCCAGGATCACTTGTGCTGTGACACAAGAGTCAAGGAATGACAACTGTCAAGTCCTAACTACATCTCATGGGTTCCACTGCATAACGTCAAAACAGGTTTTGGACAGATTTTCTGTGCCTTTTAGGAATGAGTTATTATAACGCAACTTTTTTTTTTTTTTTTTTTTTTTCCTCAGTCCTTTATTTCACCTTCTGTAGATCTTGGGCAGGTTCACTGCCTGTTGTCTTTGTTCCTCCTTTCAAAGTAATCTATCTTTCTTTCAACTTAGCTAACAGAAAGAGGAATGGCCTCTGTAACTTTCATCTTCCTGTACCAGAAGGCAGGTTCTGCTTATAGGTATTTCTGCTGTAGGGCTCTTGGAGCACAGGCCTCTTTGTCTTGATGTAAGCCCTGCATTTTTCAGTGTTTACCAGTTTGATTGATCTTATTTGTATCCTTGATTATCACATCTTTTTTGTAAGCATTGCCTTATTGGTCCTACTCAAGGTACAACACAGAGACATTTCCATGCTCAATTCAAACTAATCTTAATATTTCTTCTACAAGTCTCTCTGCTGTTCTGGCATCTGGAAATATCTTCACACTTCAAGAGAAGCTTTTCCATCTTATGCTTCTCCAGGAAAAGCCTGCTAAGCGGATAATTGCTATTCCTTCTGCTCTGCAAGTCCAGGCAATTTGGGTAACTGTCATTCAGGTGATAAATCAAGTAGTGTAAGTTATTTCTTTTGTTGTCTTCATTTGAGATCAAGACTCACATTCAAAACTAAAGTAGATTGAGCTCTTTTCTTTCATAAGGTTGTTTAAATATGCACAGCAAATGTCTGTTTTCACGCTGAGTGCCTGTTACCATTTACACCAACAAACACCAGGAGCCTTGACACACTGAAGAGTTCCTTAGCATTGCTTTATAGTAGATATCCTGCTGTTAATACTGTCAATGTAACTTCTAAGTGCTGTTTTGTCAGAAAGGCAATCCAGCTCTTTCTCCACAAAGAATGACTTGACAGCAGGGCAGCAATTCAGGAACACGACCATGTGTAGCCACATGGACAGTTCTTTCTACTAGTCATCTTCCAACACAAATTCAGGAAATAACAGAAACAACTACAGGTCTGAACTACCAGTAGAATGCCAGCAAGCGTATTATTACCCAAAGTACATGCTATGTACTGCTTCCTTCACATGTTTTGTATCCAAAGCTGGCTAGAAATGAAAAAGGAAGTTACAAAAGTTGAAACTGCCGATGAAAGCAGTACTACTCCTTTTTCGCTTACATATGAAATGAAAAAAATCATTATCTGTACTCCTGAGGCCAGTTTGTTACCACTGTGGAGTGTACTTTAGTATGCATAAAGTCTTTTAAAATAATATTATTCTTTCAAAAAAGTGCACCAGAAATAAACTATTTCTAAACACCTGAAAATATCAGTAGTTTGATAGTTTCTGGATTTGAACTAACTGTTTAAGACTCTTGTTCAAGACTCCTTGGGTGCTTGCACTGCAGCCTTGACAAAACCCACAAATTGGGTATGAGTTTACACACTCGTTATTTAAAAGAAACAATGTTTTCCAGAAATCACTATTTGCTTAAACATATTTTATTTGGTTGAACAGAGTTCTCTGTTTGCTTCTGATCCTTGCCAGTTAAGTAGTGTTTGTATTGGCTCAAGTATCCCCCAACATGACTGTGCTGATCTGGACACACTAGTAGAAAACCAGCAAGTTTCAAAGAAAGATGAGAAGAGAACCCAAGCCTTGGCACAGATCTGCAGTGTTGGCAAAAGTCCATGTCAGCACTTTTCCCACTGTTACTGTGTTTCCTTCAGGAATTTACCAAGTTCAGAATATGTTAACACAATCATCACCAGTCATATCTTTCAGAAACGTGCTATCTTTTCTTCACCACCTCACAGGACTTTACCAGCCATCCCAGTTTTTGCATTTGAATTTGCACCAGTAAAATTATCCCTGAGACCCAGAATCCAACCTTAATGAAAATGAGAACAGTGAAATGCAGACACTTGCAGGAGCCTTTTAAACAAGAAAGAAGGTAAAAGATTTAGTTAGATGTTTGTTATTACGTATACAAAAATAATATTTGGGTCGATTTGCAGCAATTTGTTTTCATCATCTTTCTTGTTACTGAGTGTGTAGACAGCATCTGCTGCCCATTTCATTTTTTCCTGGACATGTCAATATGACATCTCCTCTTGAATTCCCCAGAATCCTCTTTGTCTTTGGAAAATTTTATAAACCAAACCTGTGACTTTTCTTCCAAACCCCAAACATCACAGGCAAGCCTATGTTCAGCTTTAAATAAGTTATGTTCATATGCACGATTTTGAACTCGTTCCGAAGGCCAGGAAGGAATCAATGGGTGAGAAGTCCAGCCTATCCAGGAATCTCCATAAACCTATGCATTGATAAAAAATAACATATACAGAGATGTAAAGAACTTAGGAAGACTGGAGTGATACATTTTTAGTTTGCCGTAAGTAGTCCAATTCCATAAAGTTCAAATTCAAAATAGTTCATTTGTTCAGTTTTAAGCTTCATTAGAGAATAGAGAATCTTTTGAAGAATCTGGGATTTCACCCCACCCCCAATAATTCTTCTACCTGTACCACAAGGGTTTCCAGTGCTGCTTGACAGAAGCTGTACCGTTCTAAGTTTTCCTACATCAGTAGGAATCCTGGCCATTGTTTAAGCATGAATTTCTGTTGAAAAAGCAGCACTAGAATCATGCAGCACCAATATGATCTTTCTTCACTGTCTACAGATCAAGATAATTGTTTAGGGTTTTTTTGAACAACAAATGCCAGCTCTTAAAACTCAACTCAGGAGGCAAAAAACAAGTTTAATACCTTCCTTCTGAAGAATTAAGGCCCAGTTGAAGTCAGTCATACTTGTACAATCTGCTTTAGTACAGTTGTGACTGACCTGTAATAACACACGTGGCAGCTGACCTGAAAGGAGGACAGTCATGAACGTATGTTTTTCTTAAGAGCTGAGTGTGCATTGGAAGGAGGCTTTTTTTTTCCTTTTTCTTTTTTTTCTCCTTTTAAATAGCAGCACAAGGTTATGTAATAGTATTTCTTCAGAGTAAAACTTTACATATAGAAGATTCCATAAATATACCAGAGATTCAGTTCAATTTATAGCCCAGTTTTGTTAAACTAGCCAGAGGAGGGGTCCACTGCTGGACTGCCTGAAGAAGGTATTGATTCTTACCTTTAACAAAGATGATGTTTTTTTTTTTTTTAAATCCACTGTTGGACAGGTTGGCAGATGTTCTAAAAAGTCACTGCACTTGCTAAACAGCACTTGTTAATTCTCCAGCTGTACTTGCATGTAAGCACAGCAGCACAGTCTCAAAACAGACTCTTAACAGGCTGAAGCAAGGCTATAAAAATACTTTCCCTTCCGTTCTCCCTGCTTCCTCAATACTTCATATTCACTTCCATATTGTTCCTCACACTGCTCAGGGTGAGGAAATGCTCAGTGGCATTCGGACATTAACCAAAACTCATTGTCTTTCAGGCTAAGTTTGATTACAGTGCAGAACAGGGCCAGAAGGAAGGGAAGAGGGGAGTTGTCTAGTGGGAGTATGGAAGTGCAGCCTTACATGAACATCAAACTAGAAGAGCAGAACCTAGCCATTTGCCAAGGTAGGATAGCCACAATTAACAAATCCTGGCATTGTCATCTCTCCTATCTTTAAAACTTTAATCTGTATAATAGAGATCATATGACTCCTTTGGCTTATGTTTTGCTAAAGCAAATCAATTCATCCTTGTAAACCATCCACATAATAGAGCTTTGTAGTAAATTATGAAGATCTAATAACTAACAAGCTGAATTGCTTAAAGAGAATTTTGTTCAGCTGTGGGAGTGTGAAATTCTTAGCAAGAATGCTGATACTTAAGGTACGGGGAGTTTTATTCAAGAGGGTTGGTGTTCTGGGTTGGACCACTGAAGAATTTTAAAATTGAATCTAGGTAAAATATGAAATTAGTAATAAAAGACCATTCAGGAAGATGGAAAGGGGAGATGCAATTTTGTGTAGGATGAATATATGAGGAAAAGAGTTGAAAATATAATCTGTGTTGTGATGAAAACTGAGTAGGTTGATCCCTCAGGGACAACTTTAGTCTTGCACAAGTTACCGTAAATTACAGCAATTTACCAGCACATTGTGTGAGTGGTAGAACCTGACATTTTTTTGCTGTGCAGAGCAGCTGTTTGCACCCTCTGAGGCAGAGAGCTAACAAGGGGGTTTTGACCTGCAGACAAGGTAGTATTCAGGTGGAGAGAAGTTTTGGAGAAAAAGGAGAATTCAGCATGCTGGTATTGTAAGGCTAACTTGTCTTACAAGACTGCCAGAGTGGTAAAGACACAGTGACATACTTGTCAAAAAAAGCAAAAGAAATTTTGTTTGTCATGTGGCATGAGTCAAACAGCAGCATTTCAGGATTCCAGCCCACATATAATGAAAAGGCAAGGAGACCACTAGTCTTCTGCTTAATAAGCAATTCCATTCAGGGTCACACCTGTTTGGTATCCCAGTGGGGCAGACTGTCAGGGAAGTTCCTGAGAAATACAGGGATTAAGAAATTTGCTAGCTCAAGGTCACTTGTGAGAAGACACAACATTGCTACTACTAGATCCAGCTGATCACTGGCAAGAGTGAATCCATTTACAGAAACACAAGTGTGTTCAGAAGAACTGAAACTCCTGCTAGATTGTTCCAACACAGAAGGATGGAAAAACATCTGACAGATCATAGTTGTTGGGAGACTTCAGTTGATACATAATCTGAGAGTTCCTCTTTACTGAGTGAATTTAAAAAAGAGCTGAGGACAGTTCAACTGAGTTTAAGGAATATGGAATATTTTTTTTTCGTCGTTTTATAATTATGGCTCTTTGGATATGAAACATTCAGTCCCACTGTAAAGCGAGTGGTCTTCTTGGATGTGGAGCTGTAATGTAAATAGACCCTCTATTTATTTTCTAATCTTTAAATTAAGATTGTCCCATTAAAAATTAGATGCGAGTAGGAAAACTGACTACAGCTAAGAACCAAATAAGAAAGATCCAGTCAGATCTCAGTTTTAACTGTGAGTGCATGTAAGAATAAAAGCCTCGTCTGCTGTTTGGCTGATACCACTTTCCAAAGAAAGACATAGATAGCCTACAAATGCATGTAAATTGTGTACAGACACTTACTATCCCATCCACTTGGCACGTTAAGTTAGAAAGTATTGTTTGATCATTCCTGTGAGGACATAGTTCCTTTCTAGGCTGAGGGACACAGGCAGTTGGGAATGGCTAATGGAACATAATGTCATGGGAAAATGCTTTAATCAGCAGCATCATGAGTAGCATTGTGTCAGGCTGTGTCAAACGTGTCAGTGCAAAAATATAATTACAGGAAAATTAAGGTTGGAAGGGACTTTTGAAGGCCATTATTCTAATCCCTTTGTTCAGATCATAGCTAGGATCAAATTTAAAGCAGTTATTCTGATAGTTCTGTTGGGCAAATAATGTAAGGAAAATATAAAATGACCATTCTACTAAAATTCCACCATTTCATCAAACCCATTTATGGGATTAACACTGAGTGAAGAGCATTTTGAACAGGGGGCAATGAACTAACCTGTCATATTTTAAACTAAAAAAAAACGGTAATTTAGAGTAATTTGTGGACATGTTAGAAAGGGGAAACTTGCCAGACACTGGCTGGACATAGTAATTTTGAGAAAATGGATTCAGTGGAACAATTTTTTCTTTTTTTTTTTTTTTTAAGTTTAGTATTCTACAAATACCTTGAGATTATGAAAATATTGCTGCCGTGCTACATTGCCAATATGTTACTAGACTAACACTGTTAAGAGTTTCTTCATGGTACGGTGAAAGTAATTTGGCAGCTGGAAGGGAAACTGCTCAGATTATATGCCGAAGAAGTGGTAGGGAAGGGGTACTGCTATCATGGCAAAAAACAGATTTCTGCTGAAAGCAAGAAATCTATGAGCTTTCATGTAGCATATGAATTGGTCTCATGATTTCCTGTTAAAGGATATACCATCATGAGGCAATTTTCAACTCTTCTACTTGGACCTCATCCTAAAATAACTTGTGAAAATAGTTTTGTTGTGTTTGTGGGCTACAAAGATGCCTTGATTAGCTGGAGAAAAGAATTCTCTCAAAGCTTCTATCTTTTTCAGTTTCCTCATTTTGGCAAGCTGATAGTGCTGATTTTTTTCTGTTGTGCTTACAGAAGATAACTCTTCTCAGATAACATAGAAAGGCTAATTTATAAAATTGAACTTCTGTTTAAATGTCTGTTTCAGTTCTGGTTTTATGTGATTTACAGTTGTCTTCTTGATATCTGTATAACCTTGTATAGAATATGGTATTACAGGATGATAAGCAATAACCTAGTAAACCTCCTTAACTAGAAATTCAGCCTAGCATTGTTCAAAACCTGATCCAGAGGACTAGAATTTAGGTAAGACTTGTGACTGGATCTGTGGTTAGTCATGGGGGAGGACTCCTAATAATATGATCAATTGATTCTCAGCAGCAATGCCTAGCAAGAGCCCTAGCCATGTTTTCTCTACAGTGTAGTGTGGTTTTCACCCAGTAACAGATCTCAAATTGTGCCCAAAGCCAGCACTCTATCAGGATATATTGCACAACGCAAACATTTTGTAATGCCAACATGAAATACATCCAGCTACTGCAGAGGGGAACCAAGACACTAAAGCTGTAGCAGTAGTTTTATTAACATTGTGGTCAGATACCACACAACTTGGCCAGTATGTAGCAACTCAAAAGGACAGGAAAACAGCAATCATGAAAAAAGCAGTCATAGAGTCGCTGTCTAGGGAAATAATAGATGTTAAAAGAGATACCATTCAACACCATTGGAGACTAAATGCTTCCCACACAGATGAGCATAACAAGACACAAAGATAGCAAGAAAAATATTAACATACACAGTTAAATCTGCCTTTCATACAATACCAAATAACAGCATATTTAAATGATACTTGACTTTTAATGGTTTATGCACAGAATAGGACACATAGCAGGCAGATACAAAGCTTTATCAGACAGAGGACAACCTGTGGTTTAAGGATTACAAGGTAATTGCATCACATGAGGATTTCCATGATTGTGGAGCATCTGGAGTAAATGAAGGGAGAATGACACAGTGACCTTTGAAACACCTTCTAAATTCTAAAGCACAGACTGGCACTGAGAAAAAAAAAAGACAACCCTAATTATTATTTTGGGGGCTTGAATGTAAACTAAATTATTCCAATTTTTTTTTTTTTAAATAAGGACTTTTTTTGACAGCAGCTTAAGGATAGACAACCAAGCTGTTCTCCTTTTTACACTGTAGCAGGGTGAAACAGACTTGAGACCTCCCTGTGACTTGATTTCTCTCATTCTCCCTGTGCAGCATGCTGCAATTTAATTGAGAACTTCAGAACCAGTCTGTTTTTCCATCTCAGAGAATATAAAAGAACTAAATGACAAGAGAAGGCAGCAGTGGTGATGAAAGATGTGGAATGGCTTCTATGAGGGATTGATCATGTATGCAAGAACTCTTCAGTCTGGAAATAAAAATGTCCGACCGATCAGGTAGGGTTTAATCAAATAAAGTCTAGGAATCAACTGTTCACTGTTTCTTCCAACATATAAATTGTGGGAAGCCAGATGAAATTGACAGGAGACTAGTGAGCAACAAGAGGAGGTGGTTCTTCACACAGCATGTATTAAAGCTGGAATGCTGTAAGTTTACACGAGTTCAAGGATAGACTTAGGAAGTCTACACAGTAAATATCCACAAAGCTTTATTAAGCGCACAGTGACCATACCTAGCTCAGGAAACTCCTCAGCTGTAATTGGCTGAATGTCAGAGAGTATGTGTGGCAGGTATAGTCACACATAGCTTGTTCACCCCTAGGCTTTCAGCAGAGACAAGACACTGGGCTACAAGGACTTTCTGCTCTGACTCAACCACATAAAAATTAAGAATGCGTAAACCCAGATCATGTTGTTCGGTGCAAGAGTCAAATGTAGGAATAATATGAGATCTCATTACTTTAGTGTTTATTAGCTTTATATTCTGTTAAAATCTGTAAATATTAAGATTTTTAACTGAGAAAATGGTGCTAGCACTTTTTGCCAGTGAAAACTCTTGCTTCATTTAATGAAGTTATCATTATTCACAGCCGTTTTTAATATTATGTATGAATTCTACAGAAGCAATAGCTCACTTTACATAATGATAGGAAGTTACCCATGCCTGAAGACTGCATGTCTCACAGTTTTCCCATACAATATATTATGTGTTAAGTAAATAGCTGTTACTATAGCTGTGTGTGACATCACAGAACCAATTCTAATTACTTTTTATTTCAGATTAAGAATGCTTAGACAAGATCATTCTGAAGACCAACGTGGTACAACGTGAAAGCTTCTCCAGTTGTGCAGAACGACATACCAAGTATGGTAATTACTGAGTGACAGGGTGGAAGCATTTGTCTACAAGTTTCTTTAGCTAACACACCTATGTGGCTGCTACAGAGCAGAAGAAAATCTCTATATTCCTCATGAAATTAGTACAGTCTTTCAGTTTTCAGCACGGTTAACCAGCCTTATGATTAAGGACACAAAACCAAGACTTTGTGTCACAATAGGGCCCAAGCGAGTGGCTTAATGCTCATGTATTAAAGGAATTAGATAAGACTCGGAAGCAGCTCCAATCTGCTGAGCAGGGTTGTTTCACAACATGAGTGTTTGCAACTTGATCTGCTTTTCAAAGAGACTACAAGAACACACTAATGGAAACTACAATGAAGGACCAATTGTTCATATCATTGCCAAACTTTCCAAATTTTGGTACTTCAAGGGTGTAGAAAATTAAATCAGATTCCAGGTTACTTTTGTTGCACAGGGAGCTGCCGTTACTGTATTAGTTGCAGCCAAACGTAGCATTGGAAATGTACATATATCAAAACAGTACTAAAAAAGCTACAAATATGAGTATGTAGAAAATAACATGATCTACAAGACAGAAAAGCCATTGTGATTTTTGTCTATGAAGTTAGCAATAAATCAGAAAAAATATTGAAATTTAAGTCACAAACTTTGAAATTTATTCAAAAGAAGGGCTCAGCCTTGACCACTGTGCACCATGTGCATAGAAAGGCTATGCCTCCATAGCCTACGACCTTGGCCAAAAAAACACAGATGGTCACCCAGTGCCGCCCTGTGTTGAAAAAACGTAACTACATGGACAAATCCTTTTACGTAAGGGTATGCCGTAGGAAATAGTGTACCCTTGGTTTACGTGCAAAATGACAGCTACCATCCATTGCTGCAGTTCATACACAGCAAAGTATGGGTTTGGGTTTTTTTAATCACAGGTTCTTCACAAAGAGATGCACTGCTAAAGACTTTCATTACACTGCTGGATAACAAAAAGAGATGTTGATCCTATAGTACTATGATATTTACATGCAATCCCAGCAAATGAGGTAGGAATGGCAGGAGATTTAGCTAAATAAGGAAAAAGCAAGTAACATTTGGCAGCAAATCATCCAAGCAGTGTTTATCATCAGTAATTATTACTCAAAAGGAAGAGTATGTAAACAATGTATTTGATTTACCTAGTAGCAATTGTGATGCTAGATATGCTTGTGTAGATAAAGGTATTGGCTAGCAACAGTTTGTATATATACAAATAATAACTTAGTGATAGCTAATTTAGAAAGACCAGAGTCTTTCCTTAAATTGTAACAAATCTGTGTGTTTACTGTTTGAACTATAAATAAAAGGAAATTTAAACTATATACATTCATAATAATGTTGAGAAGATATTTAAATTTTCCTATAATCTCTGCATCATTGTTGTTCATATTCCTTCCTATAGTCAGAATTGTAAATACATTTTTCCACTATCTTAATTAGCACCTCTCATGAACGTGGTATGTCTGTACAAGGAGAGTATTTCACCATATGCTTGACTAGTTTCACAGCTGCTGGAAACCTGTTCTGGTTGTCTGTAATAATTCTGTTAGGGTAAGAAAGGTACCATTATGTAATCATGTGCTGATGCACGTACCTCAGTTGCCTTGTAAGCACTCCTCGTATCACAAGTTTTAAAGCAGTTTTCCCTGAACATAACAAACAGGAGATCTTCTCTCTGGCCAGTCTACAAACTATAAAGGTATCAGTATTTGCTACTGAGCTGACTAAGGGGAATAATTTTGTAATATTAGATGACTGATTAACAGTAACACACATGGGACAGAATCTTCCAAACTTTCTATTTATAGTGCAAGGTACACATCTCTTATTACATCCTGGAGCTGATCCCAGGGTAGCTCTTCACTAAGTTATTTTCCCTGGTGATAAAGCAGCGCTGAGAGTGTTCTCATTTGTACTTGCTGCCTCATGGACTGGTGTCACAAGCAGTGTTTGCAAGACCTTAGAAATGTCTGGTACATGCCTTTTCCCACACTGCACTTTCCTTCTCAGTAGTCACAGAGCAAAGACATTATTAGCTGCTGCAAAACACCATGAGATCCCATGTATACAGGAGACCTTCCTATAGTCAAGAAAGCAACATTTACCTGGGCTATGTACTAGACCATAATTTTCTGATGAAAGTGTGCCACTTTCACACTGTCATTAATAGCACAATTGATTCGAGATCATTATAAGCCAGCTCTGCCAATTCTGCCGACACTACCTTGTTTCAATGGCTGAAGAGCAAAGGTGTTGAGACTAGTCACGTCCTCCCTTCAGCGTAGGTAGGCAAACATGGTTACTAACATTAGTTTCCAGCATCTCAGCAGATATGAGATACTTGGTGATCATTATCCTACATTCACAAACATCCAGGATATCCTTCTGAAGAAGACATTGGAGAGGATTTATAAAGTCTTTTTGGTACAGCTATTCACACAAGGTATGCAACACAGGTTTCCCATGCATCAGCTACTCTGTAAATTGTTACAGGTATGCTCTTACTGCAGGGAGGGATGATGCAATTTGAGCAGAGGCTGCTAGCCCAAAGATTCTTAGCATCTTGAAGTGAAATTCTGATTCTCAGAGTAAATATGCAAGAGCTGGAAATATCAGTTGTAATTTACATTTAGTGGTCCAAGCACAGCTGTCTGAATATGTTTAGTAGTAGTGTAAATTACAAACCCTCCACCAGGGGGAAACTCATGCTTGCATACAAAGAAAAATAAATCATTAAAAGGATGACTGAAACATGCCCCTAACATATAAAGATCAAATTCTGTTTTAAATGTTTTGTTAGCAGTAGCACAGACTTCTTGAGCTTGGAAAGTTTTCAGAAGTTATTCACCAATCTCAAGGTAACAAACTCAAAGTTTGGTATGTTAATGGCTGAATTGTTACAGTACACATATGTAAGCACAAAAAAAACTTCAGGTTTAGACCTTTTTGTTTATAAACACAGACATGCAGCCTAATTTCACTGCTGTTAGTAGAATTAGATCAGAGCTTATGTGGTCAAAAGTCCAACTGCGTGTTCATGCATTAAAAGCCCCACCCACATTTGCTCACTAGAATGAGGAAGATACTGAGTTGTTCAGCCACTAGCATGTTCAGCATGTTATTGAACATGCTACACTGCTCCCATTGTTAATGGAAATATTTGTTAAATTTGCCATAAAGTTCATGTACTACTAGTGTAAATTTGACAAGTAAAGGTTAGGCACTTCTGGAGAATATTAAGGACAGCTTACAAACAGTCCAAAGTTTTCACAGAGATCCAACAGGCAGAGCTCTTCAGAGACATGCTCTCTAGCTAATATTAACTCTAATACCTGTGATATTAGGTCTAATAGTGTGTCTTCAGTCTTACACAAGGAAGTCTTAGCATTTCAACACCTGTCTGGGATTTTTTTTTTTAAACAGACTCCCAGGCTGTTGCTGAAATTGTGCTATTCCTTTGTTTTCTTGTTTAAATGAAAGATACAGCCTGAAGCAGAGGTCATCTGGCAAGCAAACTTTGATGAAGTGGAGAAACACATTTATGAAAAATGGAAAGATAGATGCTTCAAAAGTTCAACCAGATCCATACACCACTGAATTAGAACTGTACTAATAGCGGCACCAACAGGTGTACAGACAAATGCTCTTTGCCACCAAAAAGAAAGTTTTCAAGAGGAAACTCTTAGAGTGTCACACGAAAGTACAAGTTTTATTAGGGATCCCTGGTAGCATGAGGCTTGTAGTTACAATTAAAGAGTTACTATGACATAAAAAAATTAATTACATAATAGCTGATTGTTATCTACAATTTCTAGCAGATAGCACAGCTTACTGCTACCCAGAATTTTTAGCAACTATGGCTTTAAGTTAAGCAGAATGTCTAATAATCGGCACAGCTTTCTTACAATCTAGAGTTACCAAGGCCCTCTGCAAACAAGGTCAAATTCTTAATAACAAGTGTGTGATACAATAATAATAATCTAGATTGAGAATTTACCTAAAAGAACCTGCCTGGCCTGTAGCACTGGGGCTACAGAGATACCGGGCATCTCTCCTTGGTTTTATTTTTTTCTAAAAAAATCTGTAACTTAGTTCAGTCTCTATTTGCCACTGCCAATAAATGAATACAGAGCTCTTCCAAAGTTACTTCTGGAGAAATAATGAAATGTATAAAGGTGATTTCCTTAGAAGAAAAGACATTGCCTATACTTCCCTTCATTAGTTGATTATCACAAGTGGTTTTCAGAAATCCCCTTTAGAGTACAAACTACTGGTTTGGGTTTTTTCCCCCACCCAATCTATATTAAATGGAACTGGAATCATGTAACAGATTAAATCCAAATTAAAATATTTGTTACACAAATAGCATTTTGAAGCGATAATACTTGACTTTAGTGGAGTTATTCTGGATTTGCTTTTGATCTCATTATGCTCTTATGAGATCAAAACCAGCTAAGCTGATTTGGGGGTGGTGGTGATGCAACCCTTTTGCCATGGTGAAAGATACTTTTCAACTTCGTATCATACTCTGCATTTGCCAGCTTTGTAAAATTCTACCTCAGCACTTAGGGAAATGATCTGTAATACAATCTTAAATTTAAGAGCACTACACATAACTTCTTCTGTGAATCTCTTTTATGGAAAATACCCATCCAGTTTCACTTCTGTGACTCTTGACCATTTCCGTGTGTGCTGCTGATCTAGTTCCTCCTTTAACTTTTTAGAAATGAACTTCAGAAGATGTTTTGACATCAGGATAACAAAATATTTTCATTTTCTCTGTCCAGACACTGAAGAACTTAGGATTCACACAGGACTTACCAAGTTACTTAGGAGATAAAGCCATAGCCCATTGCTGGTGCAGGAGGAGGACGACATAATAATGTGTTTTTTCTCAGACGTAGAGCATTTCCTCCTATAACCCTATATCCAGATTATTCTGATGGTTATTGTTTGGCTAAATGACTGCAGTTTCCCAGAGCATTAGAGATACAACTCCCACCCGCTTTATTGTACCAGCAGTGTCTCAGTATAAGAAAATGTTGATTTCCTTTATGCCAGCATATTTCTAAAGCATGTTCAACTGTTTCCTGCTGAATTATAAAAGATTACGTGGAGGCAGTAAGCACAGTTTTTCATGTGTTGGGATAGAATTTCATGTCAAACATAATGCACATTCGTGATTTATCTGCCACCCCTCTTTTCTGACTTTTATGAAGTGTTATTCATTCATATAAATGAGTAGAATAGCATAAAGAGGGTTGCTTTCTCCTCATAGGTGTTGCTTAGATCGTAAGTTGAACAAAGTAGCAAGCTTCTTTTGAAAGACCACTGGCATGGTGTAAAATCTGCTGAAGTATGTTTTACTATAACTAAAAACAAAGTCAGATGCTGCACTGTATCTTTATTTTCACTTTGTATGCAGAAGTGCACAGTTTTCCTGAACAACACGAACTGCCATATGCAGTCAGATGTTTGCATTGCAAGTGTGAACATTAAGACGTGAGCTCATGTGCTGTGTTAGTCTTCAGAAGACCAGTTAGAGAACTTTCAAGTTCAAGTTACAGAGTAAATGCAGGGCACAAAGTACCAAAGATATTAGCAACCAAGAAGAACTGAAGAATTTCCAGCATGAATCAAGCTGAGGAAAGCAGTATGCACTCAATATAGAATATTGTTAGGTCAGTAGTCTGCATAGTACTGAGCTTGTCATTTATTATTGGGACCCCTGGAAATTGTATCGTCATCTGGACTGTTTGTACCAAAATGAAGTAAGCATCTCCTTCAGTCCTTCTGATCTTGAACCTGGCCATTGCAGATGTCGTTGATTACTTTACCAATTTGGATTTACTCCTTCGCTGACTCATGGGTTTTTGGAGTCGTCCTCTGCAAAACACTGGTTTTCATTACTTACTGCAGCATGTATGCTAGTATATTTTTAATTACAGCACTGAGCTTGAAGCGGTTAATGGTTAATTAACAAAACAAAAGATTGTTTTAATCATATTCCTCATTTGGTTCCTATTACTTTTGGCATTTCTGTCATTCCATTTCAGGCGACAGAAGAAATGAACTGTCAACTACTATACACATGTCGCAACTACTCTTCTAATGGACAGAAAGTGTCATATCTTTTGCTGGAGACTCTTGCAGGTTTTGTAATCCCTTTTTTAATTATTTGCACTTGTTACATGTGTGTTGCAAGAAGAATAAGCAGAATGACTTACCAATCTAAGTGGCGATCAGAGCGACTCATTGCCAGCATTGTGGTGGCATTAACCCTCTACTTTACGCTTTTGCTGCACGAAGATTTCAGAATCACCTGAGGTTTGTCAAGATAGCAAAGCTGTTTGAACAGATGGGTCAGACTGTAACAGAGGAAGACAAGAGAAAAAGTGTGGTTTTAACCAGGCAAGAAGATGCTTTAGTAAGCACAGAAAATCTCTAACAAGGAACATAGAACCCTGATGAATAATGTGATTCTTTGTCCTTCCCTCAGCAGTCCTTTCTTCTCATACTCTGAGTTTCCTTTACTAAGCAGTCCAGGCAAAACTAGAGCTAGGTAAAAAATATTGGGGTTTATTTTGTGTGTTACAAAAGAATTGGCATTGACGGCCTAGTTCAGTTCTTAAGTTAATATCTGCATCCTGATATTAGCACTGGTGCTGAGAATCTCAGCAAGGTGGCTAGAAGCTCAGAGTGTAAGGAATACAGCATTTTTACTTTCCATTAAAATTATCTGTGATTTCTAGAAATCCTGTGTGCAGGAAACAGAAAAGGACTGTGTGTGGAAAACAGAAGCTTTGACAGTTTAAAATTAAGTTTTCTTTCTGAAAAAAAAAAACCTGTAAGATCATCAAAAATGCTTATATAATGTGAAGTTTTTAGAGACCATACTTAAATTCCTGTTACGGTTGAGAATGGTTTTAGAGTATATTAATGGCACACAAAACTTTTGGGCAGATGGAAAATAAAGTTATTTTTATGCGTTGCTTAATTTAGGTTTGAAAGTAGTGATGATTATTTACACAGTCAAGCTCATTTACTGAATTATGTTGTCTTAATAGGTTTTAACAGGTATAATGTGAATTGTGATGTGACTTTTCAGAAAAAAAAAAAACAACCCAAAACAAAACAGGTACAAGTATTCTGTGTTGTATGGCAAACAGATTTACAGACTTCATGATATTATTTTTTTTGGGTCACAAAATTATGGCAGCAGCACAAAGTGTCAAATATCATATGAACTTCACCTTGCCAATAAAAGCATTATTTTTTCTTCTCTTGTGAAATAGAGTGAATAAAAAAGCAATAAATTTAGCACTGGCGAGGACCTTGTTTTAGTTTTGTGAATGTGTGCAAACTCACCGTGGGAAAACATGGCATGAAGTGGTGGCTTTTGATGATTTTTTTTTTATTTCAGTTGTGCCTAGGATTCTTTATGCTTAGTCTTGCTTATTTTTAAGGCAGTAACTTATAGTTAGATAAAGATAACTAGTGATTACTAAGAAACATTGTAATTTCCTGTACATTGTCTGGACAGCTGCTAAGTACCTGTTACTAGTCTTTACAAAGAAATTCCAAATACTAACTAGAACTTAATTTTCAAAATCTGATTATGTAGCAGCCAAGGATATTTAAACTGTATTAATTTAACTCATAAATAAACATGGGGAAGTAAAATCCTTACCTGTTAATGGAAGAATATTTCTCTAAGCTTTGCATACATATTTGTTGTTCTTGCTTGTTATGAAAAAGTAATTTTTTTCTTCTGAATAGGAGGAAAGTCCACACCACAGAGGACTTCCCATCAACAGGATTCCTTCACTGAAATTCAAGTAAACAAAACTTTGGCAAGACTTTATTTGCAGCAGAGAGTTAGCAAATGAAATGCTGTAAGACTTTACCCCTCTACCTACTGTTCTTTTTCCACCCCACTAATGACTCTTTAATTGCTATTAGTATATCCAATATATATTACTATATCCAGTGTGGTGTTATCTCACAACTAAAGCAGCAACTTCGGTTACCCACTGCACTAAAAAGTGAAGCTGAGTTTCTCAATATGTTCTTGAGATAGGAGTCACTCACTGTTCAACAACAGCAGAGAACAGATGAGGAGATAATAAGCACATGAGCACTGCAACTGAAATGGAGTTCTAGGCCACAAGGAGCCAAGGATTTCACAATTTACAGGTTGATAAAAGACTATGATAAACTTTGGTACAAGCTACCTGACCAGAATTTCCCTTTTTATCAGTATGTGCCTATGCCTAGCTATAAGCAGACTTCTCATTAAAAATTGTGTTAACCTCCTAAGCATCTCCCTGTGTATATCATCCAACTCATGAATGAACCAATTGGTTTTGTTGTGCCATTTGCTATTCAACAAGCTTTTGGGAGCATTGAATGCATATTAAGTGCCATATGGCCATATGCAGTCCATCAAAAGAGCTAGAACCATCTTCTTATGTTCGTATTAATGGCCTTAGACAGCTGCGTCCAGTAGTCAGCCATCTTTAAGAGCTCTGTTTCTTTTGAAGGGTAATTTCACTTTTCTACATAGCAAATAGAGTTAGTTCTTGCTTACGTGGGTATGCACTGATTAAAAAATCACTGATTTAATATTTTAGGCAACACAGCCATGATGTAATCTATCCATAAGAGATAGTGTAGAAGTATAAGCCAGTTATATCACAGTATCACAGTATGCTAGAGATTGGAAGGGACCTCAAAAGATCATCTAGTCCAATCCCCCTGCCGGAGCAGGACCACCTAGATAATGTTACACAGGAATGTGTCCAGGTACAGTAGAGGGGACCTCTCTCGACCTACTAACCACCGCCCTTCTAATACACCCCAGGATGCCATTGGCCTTCTTGGCCACAAGGGCACAGTGTTGCCTCATGGTCATCCTGTCGTCCACTAGGACCCCCAGGTCCCTCTCCCCTACACTGCTCTCTAACAGGTCGTTTCCCAACCTATACTGGAACCTGGGGTTGTTCCTGCCCAGATGCAGGACTCTACACTTTCCCTTGTTATATTTCATCAAGTTATTCCCTGCCCAACTCTCCAGCCTGTCCAGGTCTCGCTGGGTGGCAGCACAGCCTTCTGGCGTGTCAGCCACTCCTCCAAGCTTAGTGTCATCAGCAAACTTGCTGATAGTACACTCAATTCCCTCATCTAAATCGTTGATGAAGATATTAAATAATACCGGTCCCAGTATTGACCCTTGAGGCACTCCACTAGTTACAGGCCTCCAACTAGACTCCACCCCATAGACTACAACTCTCTGGCTTCTCTCCTTCAGCCAGTTCGCAGTCCACCTCACTACCTGATCATCCAGACCACACTTCCTCAGTTTAGCTGTGAGGATGCTGTGGGAGACTGTGTCAATTGCTTTGCTGAAGTCAAGGTAGACCACATCCACGGCTCTGCCATCATCCATCCACCGTGTTATTTCCTCATAAAAGGCTATGAGATTGGTCAAGCCTGACTTCCCCTTGGTGAAGCCAAGTTGACTGCCCCTCATAACCCTCTTATCCTTGATATGCCTTAAGATAGCACCAAGGATAAGGTGTTCCATCACTTTCCCAGAGATGGAGGTGAGGCTGACCGGTCTATAGTTACCCGGGTCCTCCTTCTTGCCCTTTTTGAAGACTGGAGTGACATTTGCTTTCCTCCAGTCCTCAGGCAGCTCTCCTGTTTCCCAAGACTTGGTAAAGATGATGGAGAGTGGTCTAGCAATGACTTCCGCCAGTTCCCTCAGCACCCGCGAGTGCATCCCATCTGGACCCATGGATTTATGGATGTCCAGATTGCTCAACTGATCTCTAACCCATTCCTCATCGACTAAGGCAAACCGCTCTGTTGACCTGACTTCATCTGAGATCTCAGGCGTAAAGGACTCTTCAGGACTGCCTCTGGCAGAGTAGACAGACAAAAAAGGCATTCAGTAACTCTGCCATCTCTGTACCTTCTGTCACCAGGGCACCCATCCCGTTCATCAGTGGGCCTGCATTGCCTCTGGTGTTAGTTTTATCTGCCATGTATTTGAAAAAGCTCTTTCTGCTGCCCTTGACCCTTCTCGCTGGTTGACTCTTCTTCCTTTAACAGGTATGCCAGGCATCTCAATGTAGCAAGAATTACCACTTTATCTATGCTAACGTGCTCTATCATAAATTCACATGGATTCCAAAAGGCCCATTCAGCCAATGGACGGTGGCTGTTCTTGTCTCCTAAAGTACTGAATCCCAGCCAGACCTAAGACCTAGCATAGATTTGGTCCAAACTGCTGCATCTTATGACAGTGATAGTTCATGCTTCTTGTTAACTACCTGACGCATCTTATGGATTATATTAGAAAATTGACAGAAAACAAAGACTCTCCTTGGTTGCTCAAGCTAGTTCAAAGCTGTGGCTCAGAGGTGGGAGCAGTCCTACTAGTAACTCTTGAGTCACTCAGCCCCTCCTGAGAACAATGGGGCTTCATCTCATTTCAGTTCCTGTTATTTTTCTTACTCCTTAAATCTTCTGTCCTTCTTTATGAAGTCTGTCTCTGTTTCAGTATCCAGCTGTTTTCTCATGACACAGCAAATAAGGCTGAGCTGAGAAGGCTGCTTCAGTCACCTGAGCCAAATTACCTCTGTTACGCTGAAGCACAGGGAACATTATGTGGAATCAATACAACACTGCTTAGAACACTGAGTACTAGGAGGTGACCAGCTGATTTGAATTTTGCATGTTTGTAAAAAGTAATAATCTCTTTCTAAAGAAATTTACCATGGCATTTCATGGGTATGCCCATCAGGCATTTATCACATTTCAGTACTAGGATCAAGCTGAATAAAATCACAGAATCCTAGAATGATTTGGGTTGGAAGGGACCTTAAAGCTCATCCAGTTCCAATCCTTGCCATGAGCAGGGACACCTTCCACTAGACCAGGTTGCTCCAAGCACCTGTGTCCAACCCAGCCTTGAACACTGCCAGGGATGGGGCAGCCACAGCTTCTCTGGGCAACCTGTGCCAGGGCCTCACAACCCTCACAGGGAAGAACTTCTGCCTAAGGTCTAATCTAAATCTCCCCTCTTTCAGTTTAAAGCCATTCCCTCTTGTCCACTCCTTACAGGCCCTTGTCAAAAGCCCCTCTCCAGATTTCTTATCAGCCCCTTTAAGCACTTGAAGCGGCTCTAGGGTCTCCCTGGAGCCTTCTCTTCTCCAGGCTGGACAAGCCCAGCTGTCTCAGCCTGTCTCCAAGCAGAGTTGCTCCAGCCCTTGCAGCATCTCTGTGGCCTTCTCTGGATTCACTCCAACAGCTCCTTGTCCCTCATGTTGTTGTCCAAGAGCTGGACACAAGACTGTAGGGCAAGTCTCATGAGATCAGAGAAGAGAGGGAGAATTGCCTCCCTTAACCTGCTTCACGCTTTATTAACAGAACTGAAGGAGAATCTGAAGTAATTTTAGTACATACATGTCCAATATACATTAAGGATAAAAAAAGAACACAAAGAAAAGGTATCAGTCTTCCATCTTTTGTTGCTTGCTGACATCAAAAGTTTTCAGTAAGTATCATGATAAAATAGCTGTTACAGAGGTCTGGAGTAAAACAGTGGAACTTTGTGAATACTTAGAGACAGCTTGTAATTTGAGATTTAACACAAGGGAAATCAGAGAAATCCTTATTTGCAGGCAGAAACAGGGGGACTACATCATACTAAAGAATTTTTTCCTTTTTTTCTTTTTTTTACAAAACCAGGAAGGAGCAAAAGTTAAAAGACATTTTAAATACAGTTAAGACTGTCAGTTATGCAGTTATGATCCATAATAAATATTTTAGAAGATGCAGAATTAGAGAAAATGACCAATGGTGAAGTTTCTCTCTGATTTTGCAACCTGCAACATTTGTATTACTCCCTTTCCTGCATATGTGGGGAAAAAGGAAGAGTAACGAAAAAATATATTTGAGTGAAAAAGTGAGAAACAAGTCAGTTAAGATTGTTAAGAAGAATATGTCCTTAGAATGAAATTCACAAGTTCAGCTATGAAGGCTGAGCATACAAAGCAAACAGAGAGGGAAGTGAGAACTATTCTTTTGCAAGGCTGTTTCAGGGTTTTGTAAAGTCTTTCTTGTCAGATCACTTGATCACTAAAACAGTTCATTAGAAAAGTCAACTAGATCTTTACTAGTGTAAATAGGTTAAAGAAAAAAAAAGAAACGGAAACAAACAACTGTAAAACACAGTTTAGAGAGACATAACTGTGTCCTCTGAGAGGGTGAGGAGCTTAGGCTGCTCCTGGGAGTATTAAGAGTTGGATTTGACCAAGACTATGGTGATGGCCACTAGAATTTCAGAAACTTTACAACATTGTTTACAGTACTAAGAAAATTCTTGCACTGATAGGTATGGAGATAATAAAATCCGATGCTATTGGATTCCTTGTTTCCCCTTAAATCTATTACTTTAAAAATAGTATTGGTGGTTCATAGTAAGGATTCAACATTTTAAACTAGATAGATAAACATTTGATAAAAGGTTCAGATCAGAAGAAAATGATTTTTATGCAATTTGTGAAGTCAGTGATTGAAGTGATGGAATTAATGTGTTGCAGATTCCATATCTTAACTGTACCATGGAACTTCAACAGTTATTGTAATATTAACATTTGCTGTATAAATTCCCT